GCATGGGTGTGTGATTTTTTTCCCCAGGGAAACAAACACAAGACTAGAGCAATTTCAGTTGTACACTTTAGTGCTACAACTCCAGAGGATTTTTAAAAAATCTCTAGCACATTAGCACAAAAGCAGAAGGTCCCTGTGCTTGGATAAATCAACTCCATGTTGTTGTGTGTACATTCAAGTCATTTCTGACTTATGGCAACCATAAAATGAATTTATCATGGGGTTTTCTGGGGCTGAGAGCGTCTGACTCACCCATGGTCACCCAGGGGGTTTCCATGCTCAAGCGGGGGTTCATATCCTGGTTTCCATAGTCCTAGTCCAACACTCAAACCACTACAACACGTTGGCTCTCTAAAGTCAGCCCCATAACACCCACACCAGTCAACCTCAGAGCTTAGGCAGAAGAAATCTTCCAGCACTATTACCCCCTCCCCTAATCTTGCAGCTTTAACCTAAATTGAAATTGGCTAAGCAAAGTCAGTTTTGCATCTTTGCGACTGAGATAAATAAGTTTGTAGCATTTTTTCCCTCTCAATCTCAGATGTGCTGCAAGATCCCTTTGCATACTGATGCAGACTAACAAGGCTATGTCTTTGAAACTTACTAGTTTGTGGAGTGGAATTTGAGCCTTTTGAGCACAGGAATCTAATGCTCCAGCAGTAAAGCAATGGAGGTTTATGGCATGGTGAGGAAATGGGGAAGAAGATGAAAATATCCCCAAAATAGTGAAAGGATAAGAGACTGGCTGTCATTTGAGCCAGCATAGTGAAGTGGTTTGGGTGTTAGGCTAGGACTCTGGAGACCAGGGTTCAATTCCCTGCTTGGACACAGAATCCCACTGGGTGACTTTGGAGAAGTCACACACACTCAGCCTCAGACACAGACAATGGCAAGCCCCCTCTGAACAAATTTTACCAAGAAAAATCCCATGATAGGTCCTCCTTAGGGCCAACGTAAGTCAGAAATTCATTTCAGTTGTCACAATTCATTTGCATTGGTTTATTTTAAAAGCAGCAGCAACTTTAGTTTTTCAGACAGGAAGAAAATGCTTCAGAATGTCTTGGGGGGAAGGGGGACATTCCCTGAAAAACTGCATGATTGGTAGAATGCCTTTGGATCTTTAAAAAATAATAATAAGTGGCACGTACATCGTGTATTACCACCTCCTGATACATTTGTCCTTTTTGGGGAATCTTTAGTCAGGCTCACAGCAAGACTGTTGGATTTAGTGGTTCTCTTCTAAATATGCCTATATCTGGATTGAACCCATTCTACAGATCCATTTTTTCTCCTTAGCTGTACTTTGTCTGATGCTTAAACCAGGTCTGTTTTTGTTTGTCTCTTTCTTTCACCCCCAGAAACTATACCTGCTCCTTGATTACCCAGTATCAGTACCAGGCAACCTGAAAACGGTAAAGTCTTTTTTAAAAGCCTGATAATTAATGGGATAATGGGAAGTATGTGTTATACCCTTGGATGAAAACACACAAATGTATTGCAAAAGATTATTGATAGCAGTGATTTTGATCTAGGATTACATTTTCATGCAGTGACAACAACCACACAGATTGCTTCTTGGGGCCCCATTCACACTACGAAAATAATCCAGGATGAATCCGGGTTATTTCCTTGACACTGCCAGAGATGTGGATCGATGCGGATCTTTCAGGAAAACTTAGGGAAAAAACCCGCTTTCGAATATCCTCAGTGCACTTTGGGGGGAGGGGGCTACCAAAAACCCACTTAATCTGGGATATTCGATACCGGGTTTTTCCCCAAGTTTTTCTGAAAGATCCACATCAATCCACATCTTTGACAGTGTAAATACATTTCCAAATCAATTCGGATTGCTCTGTATCATTCAAGGGAATGGAGGTGGCTCCATTTTAACCTGAAATGATGGCATGTGTGAATAACACAAGGGTTAAAATGACTCGGAGTGATTTGCGAATCCAAAACGTAATGGGAACAATAGTCATCATTGCGTCATACATCATCATGGCAATCTGCATCTCCTTGGGACAAAAATCTGAGTGTGAAAGCCCTCTTGTTTTATAACAAGAACAGCAAAGCAAGCAAAGCAGCTTCATTTATATACCACTTCATATCGCGCTATGGGATGTCTAAGCGGCTTACAACTGTGAGCTGATTGCCCCCCAACAGTTGGGTACTCATTTTAGCGACCTGGGAAGGATGCAGGCCTGAGTTGAGCCTCAGCCCTGGCTGGTATTGAACTCGCAACCTTATGGTCTATGAGTGAGTGGCTGCAGTACAGGCATTTAACCACTGCGCCACCAGGGAACAGAATAGTTCACATTTACATTAGGCTTTCTTTCTTTTTGAGAATTCTTTCTGGTCCAGAATAAAGAAATGTCACGGCGCTGTAGAAATGTGTATTTTCCTGGTTTGGATGTGTGACTCTTGGCATGTTTATAAGCCTCACACAGTACAATTTGATACAATTTTAAATGCTGTAGCTCCATGGTACAGCCTCTCCTGGGATTTGAAGTTTGGTCAGGTGCATAAAATTTTCTGCTAGAGCTGTCTACTGCCCTTCTCCTGAACTCACAGCTTGGATGCAGTGAATTGAAAGAAACCTTGTGTATCACAAAGCGTGACACAGTTTAATTTTAAAACAAAGAACAAATAAGAGCAAAGTTACTTTACTGGTGTTATGAATAATACAGTATTTTCCATTTTCAAAAAATATTTTAAAGGCCAATTTAAGGGACATTTTTACAAGAAGGTTTTTCTGCTATTTTGTATCAATCCTAAGGACTTTTCCCCACCTTAAAAGAGTACCGTAACAGAAAATAATACAAAGTAAAAAGGAGTGCAAGAAATAATGTTAACAAGGTTTTTTTTTCATAATTCTAATGAGTAACAAGAAGTATTTACTTTTTAAACATTATGATGAGAAACAGAACAATTAATTTTGAAAAATAACTCTCCGGCCTTTGCAGCAATACAGCTTCCTAGCTGCAGATTCCAAGTACCTCGCCTAACTACAAATCCTGGGAGTCCCATTAAATGGAGCCATGACAATTAAAGTTGGATCAGACTATTAGAAAGTGTAGTAGTGTAGGCACATTCATGGGAGGATGGGGAAGGGGACTTACAGGTGGGAGAACTGGCATCAGTTTGGGCATCAGTTTGGGCACAACAAGTTCTGAACTGGGTTCAAAATTAGGCATGGAATCAACGGAGTTGTTTAGGCTTGGAATACGCAGAAGCCAGTAAAATTGTTTGCTTGTTCTCCAAGCCCAGTTCCAAGCTAGCACAAGGTGGGGAAAGGGTTTCCTGTCCCTCTACTCTCTAATTTTATTGTAGAGAGATCTTGTAGCACCTTTAGACTAACAAGTTAGCAGCATGAGTTTTCATAGACTTGAGTCTACTTCCTCAGATGCATTTGGGAGATTTGGCAAATGCATCTAAGCAAGTAGACTCAAGTCTATGAAAGCTCCTGCTGCCAATTTCTTTCTTTCAGTTAGTCTCAAAGGTGCTACAAGATCTCTCTGCATACCGATTCTATAGACTAACACGGATGTATCTTTGAACTCTTACTTTTATTGTTGGCTTTTCCTGTCATTAGTGCAATGGATATCTTGGCGACAGGTAGTCTGGTTAGAAATGTTTTAGTGTGGCAGTAGAACATTCTCATGTCCAGCAGTTCATTTCTTCCCCTAGACTATTTCCCAGTTTGAGAAAATAGGGAGGTGGGCTGGCAGCTTTGGCTCAGTGGAAGAATGCATGCATTGCATTTGAAAGAGTCCTGGTTCAGTCTTTGGTCTCCATGGAAATACTGGAAAGCCGCTGCAAGTCAGCATATGAGTAGTTGAGCCTTCCCCAACCCCAGCATCATCATGATATGTCTAGACTACAGCCCCCATCAACATTAGCCAGCCATAAGCCTTGTAGTCCAGCACCTCTGCAAGGTGCCAGTTCAGTCAGGTTATTACAGATAATACTGAAAGATCAGTGATCATCCAGAGTATCAAATACAGTCCTATGTTCTCAATTTATATTCTTGTTATAAACTACTGTCATCCATCTATTCATGTAATTCTTTCCTCATACCCATATCCCATTTCACTAATTTCCCCAGGATGGATTCTGCCTGGAATTATGGAAAATTCATCTCATCAACAGAAATTTGAAGCGCATGATCAACGTAGCTGGGAGTACACTAAAGGAACAGATCATGAAAATAACAACTCACACAAAATTTGTTGAGAAGTGTAACATTGATGTAGGTCACAGATTTGTTCCTTTTAAAAGAAGTGCAAGTGTATTTAAATATAAATATGTGTGTGTGAAGGGAGTGCAGTTGTATTCAAATATAAATGTGTGTCCATATGTGTGTGTCTTCAGGTCATCTGCCAATTTATAGCAACCCTATGAATTTCATAATGTTTTCTTATGCAAGGAATACTCACTTAGGCAAGGTGAAATCATTTTTGTGCCATCAGACTCTTTAAAATGATGAGGATTGGCCTTTAAAATGCTGTGCAAGTCAGAGTAGGGTTTGTATAGTTTTTAAATACATTTTAATATTTTAATCCATAATTGTTTAATTTTTTTTAATTGTACTATTTTGGTAGGCCCCCAAAATCTCTATACTTGGAGAAAGGTGGGATATAAATAAGCAAACTAATGATAATGATAATTAATAATACTCAGAGGCAGTTTTGCCTCTGAAACATAGCCCACAGCACCAGGTATTTGTTGGTGCTCTTTCATCCATATATTAACCAGAGCTTCCAAGATCAGACAGGATCTGGCTCCTTTAGGTATTTAGACAAAATATAAACATTGGACGTTATCACACGTGGGCCAGTTTCGTTGTTAAAGAGATAATAAAGTGGAAATGAAGCATCCCGAAAAGAAAACGAAAATAGAGCTTAATTACACAAAAACTTTTCACACGTAATTACAGTAATAACAGAATTAAGTTAAAAGCGAAAAAAAGACGTTTTTAACTTTCATACACAAGTGAAAAGAACCCGTACATGTACTGGAAATGGGTATGTTTCGTGACCAGACTCCTCCTTTTACCAGGGCGGGTCCTGCATTTCCCAGGAGGAAATGTCAGACTGTCCTACATTTGGGGTCATGTCCTCCTGCATAGTCCTAACTCCCTTCCGTTGGGGTTAGGACCTCTCAAGAGAGCAGAGGAGGAGGAGGCTGGAAAGGCAAGGCAAGCCGAGGCAAGGGAGGGACTGGGATGGCCAGAGCCTTGGATGATGCCCAGGATGTAGCCCCCATGCCCCCCCATAAGCCTTCCCCCTTTGTAGGACCTGTAGGGCAGAACTTCATGGTGAGATGGAGCTCCAAGTTGCTCCACAAGCACACCCCACACTTGCACCCACATCCACCCACAGCTGCTGTAAGGGAAGCCTTCTTTCCCCTCCTTTTCCCTCCATCCCAAATGCCAAACTTCTCCTCCTTCCCAAACTTCCCTCTCCTTGCCTTGCCTCTCGGGACTCTCCCTCCCTGGAGGCCCCTCCTCCTCCTCCTCCTCTTGGCCCTCCTCCAGGTTTTAAAAGAGAATTGTCCGTGTGTATTTGCTTTTCACATTACAGTAAATGCGAAATTACTGTAATTTCGCAAATGCATTTCCTCTAAACTCTCAAAATTAAAAAGATCTCGGATAATACCAGTTTCTGACCAGTTTCTGTGCAACGTCGTGTGAAATCGTGAGGCGCAAATTCAGTTTTTGTTTGGGATTTGTGTGGATTAACCAACAGATTTCCCCGTGTGATAACGTCCATTGTCAATTTAAACTGGTTTCTTAATAGATGCCTAATTTATGTAATTTCTGCCTATTA